CAGTCATTACTAAATTTGAGTGGTGGGCAGGCACAAGCTCTCTATACTTTAGCAGCATTTTGAATTATCCATAACATTTATTAAATCTCAAGGTTAGAAAGGAACTGATAGATGACCTGATCCACCCACTCTCTGGTCTAATAATATAAAAATCCTACAAGCCTTAAAGACAAACTCATGTTTTAAAATAAGAAAATTTTACTATCCTTAAGTGGATCCTTTTCAATAAATTTAATCCTAATGTTACTCTGGTATAATTTTCATGCTAAAATGCTCAATGCTAAGATATCAAGCAAAATAAAGTTCTTAACACATTATGAGCTAGTTCTTATCAGGAATGCTTTCTTTTGCTTTCCCTCCCCCCCATCTCTGCTCTCTGCTCTCTGCTCTGTCTCTCTCTGTTTTTGTCTCTCTCTTACTCTCTCTCCCCTTTCTTTCTATCAATTCCAGGAGTAAGGATTAAAAATCATATCATTATCTATATTGCTTTACTTAATTTTCCTAAATGAGTAAAAATTGTGAATGTTTTAGTTTGATTTTTTTGTTCCAGACAATACTATTTCATAGGTGTGCTTTTCTGTCTGTTATAACACAAAAGGTAGATTATTTGCATTTGCCTCAAATTTCCTCTGGAAAGTCAAACTATCCATCAGATAATTTAAAAATTAGTCAGAGAGCTTCAAGAATTGAAACCAAATTCCTGATCAGTGTGGCTACCTAAGGAATTTACAGACACTCAAGTGACTGTGTGGTAACCACAATGACATAAGTGGGTTCACTAAGTTTTATTTTTATCACAGATGGTGATGTGAGCTCTAATGGAAAATAGTGGTAATTTCCTACTTAGGTTTTTGGTAAAGATTGAAACACTTTGCACGATTTGTATTGAAGTTTTATAAGATTTACAAAGGTAGAATTGCGTAAAGTGGGAATTAACCTCCATTCTATGGAAGCCGTCCATATTAAACCTATCTAAGAGAATGCACACATCAGAGGGGCAGATCTAGGAATGGAATCCCAGTATCAAGATCCCGAGATCCTGTATGGAGTCTAATTAACAAGACTGAGAAGCCTTAGGCTTTTCTCACCAATTAATTATGTTACTCCTTCCTTTGTTTCTGTTACAGTATTTTTCCTATACTTGGAAAGGTATTTTTTTAATTTTTTTTTTTTTTAAGGAACTACTGCAGTCATTTCAAGGAGTCTTCATGACTTTTATACAGAAAGTTGCTAGATATATACCTAAATACTTTTCAGGTGCTGCTATATATAGATAGACAGGAGGTTTACTATACTATGGCACATGATCCAAGGGATAAATGAGAACTGAAATCAATCTGCCCTCTGCTCACAAAACTGTGCTCTCTGCATGGATGTGGTATAGACTCGTAGAGGTCCTGCCATTTCTCTATTGTATGTAAAATATTTCCTTAACCCCCTCATAATTTGAGACTTGAATTATATCAACTTATCCTTTTATCTTGATTTTTTTAAATTGTGATTAAATATATAACATAAAATTAACCATTTTAACATTTTTAAGAGCAAAGTTCTGTGGTATTAAATACATTCATATTGTTGTGCAACTGTGACTATTTCCATCTCCAGAGTATTTTCCCTTCCTCATTGAAATTCTGTACCCATTAAACACTAATTCCACATTCCCTCTCTCCCTACTCTCTGGCAACCACTATTCTGTTTTCTGTCTCTGAATTTGAGCACTTTAAGTACCTTATATAAATGAGATGTGCGTGTGTGTGTGTGTGTGTGTGTGTGTGTGTGTACACACACACACACACATATATCTACATGCATATATAAATATTGTGTATATTTATATATATTGTAAATACATACAATATTTGTCCTTTTGTGACTGACATTCATTTAGCATAATGTCTTCAGGATTCATCTATTTCCTTGTGTCAGAATTTCTTTCCTTTTTAAGTCTGAATAATATTCCATTGTATGTGCACACTACATTTTGGTTTTTTTCATCTGCTGATGAACACTTAGTTTGCTTCCACCTTTTGGCTATTGTGAATAATGCAATGAAGACGGATGTGCCATTATTGTCTGCTTTCAGTTATTTTGGGTTATATACCAAGAAGTGTAATTGCTGGATCATATGGTAATTCTAAATCTTTCAATTTTGAGGATCCATACTTTTTTTTTTAGAGTAGCTGCAATATACTTTCTCTATATATTTATTAACATTTGTCACTTTCTGTCTTGTTTTGTGTTTGTTTTATAATAGACATTCTAATGGGTATGAAGTGGGATCTCATTGTGGTTTTCATTTGCATTCCCCTAATGATTACTGATGCTTAGCATCTTCTTATGTACTTATTGGACATTTGTATATTGGAGAAATATCAAAGTCCTTTGTCTATTTTTAAATTTGGGTTGTTTGTTTTTTGTTGTTGTGGGCTAGGAGTTATTAAAAAATGTTTATTCTGGATATATAATATTTTTTAATCAGACATATAAGGGGGACCCCAAAATCCCAGAATTGTCTTTTGGAGATTGGGCCCCTTGTAGTATAGGCTTCCACCACTAGGTAAGTGTTCTAGGAACCTGTTTGCATCAGTGTGCCAGCTAGTGTTGTTATGAGAGGCTGCATTCGGCTTCAGTTAATTTTTGTTCTTGTAGATTCTTTCAATTCATTTGCCCATTTCATGGTGGGTGATTTATGAGTGCACCTGCCCACACAGTGCTGAGTGTTCGGCAGTTTTTGACCAAAAACTATGATGCTGGTACACCACCCTCCCTAGTCATCCAATCTCACCCCCAGCAATGTTTCCCTGGATGAAAAAAGTTCACAAAGGGAAACCATTTGCTGATGTGGAAGAGGTGAAATAAAAAATGACAGAAGCACTAGAAGGCATCCAAGTTGACGAGTTCAAAAACTGTGTTGAGCAGTGGAAAAAGTGTCTTAATAAGTGTATTGTATCAAACAGAGAGTATTTTGAAGGTGACTGAAATTTAAACATGAAAAATAGATACACAGTGTTTTATGAATAGATTCTGAGTTTTTTGGGGTCCCCACCATATGATTTGCAGATATTTTCTCCATTCCATGAGGTGCTGTTTTATTGTGTCTTTTTAATATTGATAAAGTTCATTTTATCTACTTCTTTCTTTTTTTGCTTGTGCTTTTGATGTCATATCCAAGAAATCATTGCCAAATCCAGTGATGTGAAGCTTTTTTCTTGTGTTTTCTTCTAAGAGTTTTAAAGTTATAGTTTTTGTGTTTAGGTTTTGACCTATTTTGAGTTAATTTTTGTATATGGTATAAGGTAAGAGCCCATCTTCATCCTTTTGCATGTGGATATTCAGTTTTCCCATTGTCTTGAAGTTTTCAAGATTATATACAGTCAAGATTTTATTAATATGGGTGATCGCTGGGATTTTGGTGAAGAAGGGAGTCATACACATGATCTCAAGTCACAGTTGAAGCAAAATTTTACTTACTTCTTTACTATCCAGGGATGTATTAACTGACACCATAGTAAGTACAGCAAGACCAGGTAGGCATTCACTTCCCTATAGTCTATATCAAGTAGGCAGCTGAGCCGGGCTCGGTGGCTCAGCCTGTAATCCCCCACCTTTGGGAGGCTGAGGTGAGTGAATTGCCTGAGCCTGCGGGTTTGAGACCCGCCTGGGCAGCGAGACCTCATCTCTACAATAAATCAAAAAATCAGCCAGGTGTGGTAGCGCATGCCTGTAATTCCGGCTACTTGGAAGGCTGAGGCGGAAGGATCGCCGGAGCCCAGCAGGTCGAGGCTGCGGTGGCCGGGAGCAGCCACTGCATTTCCAGTCTAGGCGACAGAGTGAGATACCAACTCAAAAAAAAAAAAAAAAAAAAGTAGGCAGCTGCTGGATTGGTTTACATAGTCAGCTCTCTGATATAGAGAGCCAAAGAGCTAAGCCATCCCTGAAGCTGATCTAGATAAAGAAGGGAAGATTCTGAAAACCCTGCCCATGGGTCTTGCTCTTGCCCCTGATAGTTGACCAGAGCCACAGCTGATCTTTTCTCATCAGTCATTTTTAGGACAGTAAAGATCTTTTAGCTTAGTAGCTCTCTAGCTCAAATATGAACTTCATCATTTCTGAGTCTAGTTGTATTTTGACCAAGATAGTAATGTTATGGCATCTTGAGTATTCAAAGAACTTCTGTACATTGTAACGCAAGTATCGTATACCTCCTGGGAGGATCAAGCATATCTGTTTCTGTGACAGTTATAAAGATAACGATATGAGAAAAGAGAAAAGGTAAAGTATGGAAACTGTCAGCAGTTGAGAGTGTAATTTAGTAGGTAAGAGTATGGACCTTAAAATCAGAAAGAATTAAGTTCTGTTGCTGTTCTACCATAGATAAGATGCTTGCCTTGGGCAAGTTTGTTTCCCAACTTGGTTGATTAAACGTGTTTTATCTTTTTTCTCATCTTTATGGTAAGAATAATAATAACCAATGCTATGGGGCTTTGTGAGATTAAATGAGATGTATATGTCAAATGCTTTGCACCGTGGTAGGCCTGCTATAAATGTTCAATAAGAGAGCAGTATTGATGAGGGGAGAAAATATCCCGTTACTGGTTTGTTTCAGTTTAATAAGGATCTTTATTTTCTCTGAGAAGAGATAGCAAAATATATTCTAGAAGGAAATTTAACAATTGTTTTTGTTTTTTATGCTTTTTTTTTCTTTTGATTGCTCCAGGTTGCCTCAGCTGGACGGTTACTAACATTTGCTTCCTTTGATATCAGTAGCAGTGATTTTCAAGTTCTCTTTTTTCATGGAAATTATCTTTATAACAAAATAATTACTTAGGAGTTTGTATCACACCTATCTACCCACTTAGTTCTAATATTTAAGAACTTGTTTCTTTTTAAAGTGCATAACCATTCCTGTCACTGAACTCTTTTCTATTAACTATTTATTATTTTTGTTGACATGTTTTTGAGTAATCCTCATAACCCTTGATATCAATCCTTACCAGTGAGAAGAGGGGATGTCCTGGCAGCATGGAGTGGTATCCGACCCCTTGTTACAGATCCCAAGTCTGCAGATACTCAGTCTATCTCCCGAAATCATGTTGTCGATATCAGTGAGAGTGGCCTTATTACTATAGCAGGTATGAGATATTTCCTTATTATTTGGATGTGCTTTACATAAAAGCGTAACTTAAATTGTTCCACATAACTCTTTTAACTCTAATGAACAAGAATTTTCTTTTTATGATTCTGAGTAAAATCTTTCACATTTCTTTGCCATGTTACAAACAACAGCTTAATTTCATTATTAGTAAGTTGATAAATGGTTAGTTATAAGAAAAATAAGGAATTTCAACCTAATTAATTGTTTATCATCTTCTTTGTAGGTGGAAAGTGGACAACCTATCGCTCAATGGCAGAAGATACCATAAATGCTGCTATCAAAACTCACAATTTGAAAGCAGGACCAAATAGAACAGTTGGACTTTTCCTTCAAGGGGGTAAAGATTGGAGTCCCACACTCTATATTAGGCTTGTCCAGGATTATGGACTTGAAAGTGAGGTGGGTGTGCATTGTCATATCATCATATTCCTTACCTAATCTCTCACTATTGCCAGTAACAAAAGTGGCGCCAAGATTTGGCCTTCCTAATTTAGAGTTTCCTTCTGTTTACTGTGTAAGTAAGCTAAGTAAAAAAGATGATCTTACTTTGGTTTCGTTGCCCAAAAAGCAATGTACATGTGATCGCATGGTTTCAATTAAAGTCTGCAGTTTTTTGGTGTGTTCCTAGTATATTACAAGGGCATCCCAAATTCTTTGCTTCTCAAGCACAAGAAAAGCTATTCTTCAGGAGTGATATCAGGAGCAAAATGAAACTGAAGCTTCATCAGTCATTGGTACAGTGATACATGTGTAGTAGAGTTAGTGCTAGCCTAAGCATTCAAACCCCAAGTGGTTTCCTCCCACAAAATCAAAATCTAATATTCTCTGAGAGCTATTAGTTACAGGCTGTAAGAAAACTGACAAGATAAGTACGCGTGGTTTTGCTGTATACCTAGAAGGTATTGATATTCCAAGTACCTGCCTAATGCAGTATTGTTTCTCTAGGTGGCACAGCATCTTGCTGCCACGTATGGGGATAAGGCTTTTGAGGTGGCCAAAATGGCAAGTGTGACTGGCAAAAGGTGGCCTATTGTTGGAGTGCGTCTTGTGTCAGAATTTCCATATATTGAAGCAGAGGTATGTGAATGGTCACATGGGGGTTTCTTGTCTGTCGTAGGATACCATTCATCTGTTCAATTTCCGTCTTCTTTAAAGAGTATATGCAACTAAGTTTTAATGCACATGAGTTAGCTAAAACCTTGAGTAAAATGTCTTTCAAGTGCAGATTCTTTTATTTACAGCATTGTAATTTTAAATCTGTAGCTGATTGTGGTAATAATAACAATGTGAAATGTGGATTATTTTTTCCTCTGTGGAGCAGTCTTAAGTCTTGTTAATTCACAGTTGTTGGTCCCTTTTGTGAGTTTGTAGCTCTTGAAGTTTGTACCATTCCTGTCCTGCCTGACAACATACTTTGATGTGACAGTTTCTCAAAGATTTAAGTCTTGTTTCTCATCAAGCTTTCCAATTTTATGAAGCCAGAGACCATACTTTGTGTTTATTTGTAATTCACTGTGTCTTAAAATATTGGTGTCTGGTAAGCATTTACTTGTTGATTGAATTCAGGGTTTCTATTATCTGGTTACTCTAAGGCAGAAAACTCTACAGCTTAAGGAGATGAGACCATAACTTTCTTATACTCATCCTTGGCCTATTCAACTATATAAATTAACATCCACATTAAGTATAAGCAAATAGAGGTAAGTGATTACTGTGGATGGTTAATGAGAAGTGATGCAATTTGCATGTTTATGCCAGGTTCTATTCAGGAAGAAGGCATTAACTCTTGTCCAATTTATCCCATTTTCCAAACCTCCTTTGGCAGGCAGATGGAGCGTTTATGTGATGCCACTATTTGTCTCATGACTGCTAGAGAACCAGAGAGTACAAAGAAAACTGCCACCTTTCCAAAGCACAAATTTATTTTTTAAAGTGGAACTTTATTTCCTGATTTTAAAGAAAGGTCTAGACTAATATTTTTTCTTTAATTCAAACTCAGATAAAATATGGGATTAAGGAGTACGCCTGCACCGCAGTGGATATGATTTCACGTCGCACTCGCCTGGCTTTTCTAAACGTCCAGGCTGCAGAGGAAGCCCTGCCCAGGATTGTTGAACTGATGGGCAGAGAACTGAATTGGGATGATTCTAAGAAACAGGTATTATATAGAAGCCTTTAAAACCACAGTTCCCATTATAAACATTGAATGGCTTGATCTGTTTAGTAGAGCTAGCATAGTTTTTGATAGTAACCTTAGATTTCTTACCAATTTCCGTATGTGAGAGTATCAAATATTATTAGACCTTAGAGAAATGGAAAGACATTCTTGTCTCAAAACATAACTGTTTGTGGAAAATCTCTTATAGAAATGCTCTTAAATTTGTGGTCATATTTCTGAAAAAGAAAGAAAATGATTGTGAGGTAGCCACTCCTGATAATTTGCTTCTGGTAAGAAATATGTTTTTATTTCCTGACTACCAAGTGCTTATTATTTGTGTCATTTGAAAATTTATATTTTTACCCAAATTAAAAAAAGAAAGCCAGTGATGTTCAGATGCCAGTACAGACACACAAAACACACACACACACACACACACACACACACAGGCTAGGCTTATTGCAATAAGCAGAAGATCTTCTTGCTTTTTTTTTTTTTTTTTTTTTTTTTAGTTTTAGTCTCACTCTGTCGCCCAGACTAGAGTGCAGTGGCTACTCCCGGCCACCGGCTCCGGTGATCCTTCCGCCTCAGCCTTCCAAGTAGCTGGAGCTACAGGCGTGCACTACCACACTGGCTGATTTTTTGATTTATTGTAGAGATGAGGTCTCGCTGCCCAGACAGGTCTCGAACCCGCAGGCTCAGTCAATCCACTCACCTCAGCCTCCCAAAGGCGCGGGATCACAGGCTGAGCCACCGAGCCCAGCCTTGCTTTTTAATTAACCCAAACTTTTGTTATATGCAGAGGCTTATAAAGCATTTTCATACATTCATTCATAAAATACTTTCTGTACTCATTGGGTTCAGTTTATTTCTACCTAGTCTCTCTTGAACCCATTCCATTTAGGCTCTTTTGCCACCAGTTTGCTATATTAGCTCTGGTCAATCTTGCCAGTAACCTCCATGTTGTTCAATATATTTGGTATAAGATCAATCAAGACACCAACTGACTTGGAGTCTGGTGAGGGCCTACTTCCTAGTTCATAGACAGACGTATTCTTGCTGTGTTCTCATATGGCATGAGTGGGTGAACATTATTGAGCATCTATGTCATATTCAGAGGTACAAGGAAAGAATTGAACATATAGCCTGTTCTTAAAGCATTCTTCTTCTGATATAAATTCCCAAAAATGGTTACATTTTAGAGTTACCTAGAAAATGTGAGGCAAAGGGCAGATTTCAAGACTTGACTTTAGACTATCTTTAGACTATCTTTAGAGGTCAGTCCATGGCTCCATGCTTTTAAAATTCTCCACTAGTAATTTTAATGTAATATTCTCTAATGTGCTAATGGTGGAAGTCATTGGTCAAAGAGTTTCATAATCCTGATCATGCATCTGTTGGGGATTTTTTTTTTAAATTCAATTCTTTAAACTTTAAATTCAGGGGATACAAGTACATGGTTGTTACATAGGCGTGTTGTATACTGGTGGGGATCGGGCTTCAGATGTGCTCATTCCCCAAATAGTGAACATTGTACCCAATAGATAGCTTCTGAACTGTTGCCCACCCCCCCACACACATTTTAGTGTCCTCAGTATCTATTATATTCAACTTTATGGCCATTTAGCACTCACATATAAGTGAGAACATGCGTGTTCGGCTTTTTGTTTCTAAGTTAGTTCATTTAGAATGATTTTCTCCAGTTCCATCCATGGTTCTGCAGATGACATGATGTCATTCTTTTTTATGACTGTGTGGTATTCCATCATTTATATATACTGCATTTTTTTTATCCAGTCAACCATTGATTGGCACTTACATTGGTTCAGTGACTTTGCTATTGTGAATAGTGCTGCAATAAACATATAAGTACAGGTTTCTTTTTTATGTAATGAGTTCTTGTCCTTTGGGTAGATCCCCAGTAGTGGAATTGCTGAGTTGAATGGTAGTTTTAAGTTCTTTGAGAAATCTCCATATTATTTTCCATAGAGGTTGAACTAGTTTACACTGACAGTGTGTAAGTGTTCCCTTTTCTCCACATCCACACTAACATCTATTCTTTGACTTTTTAATGATAGCCATTCTGACTGGTAGGGATAATTTTGCCCCCATTTTATCATTGAGGAAACAGGCTCACAGGGTAAGTCCCTGTCAGAGTTTATACTAGCAGCAAATTAGAAATCAGGGATTAAAACTAGATATTCTGATCCCAGAGGAAAGCATCCTCCACCCTGGCCTGCTGTCTCTACATTAGCCATACTGGTTTTTAGCTCTTCCATCTCAAGGTTTAGTTGATCAACTAAAGCTCTATAGAGAGACAACACAAGAATGAAACTTTTTTTCTGTGCTTCTGCCAGTCATTTTTACCATATAGAAAGATCGGGAATAATGTGTTCTTCCAAAAATTATGATTGGAATGATTTAAATATGCAGGAACATATTTTATGCAAGGAATTCAGGCTGTGGGAGGTAGGAAGGAGGAAGAAAATTCTGTAAACTGGTTGTGTTTGGTCCTCCTAGGGAAGATAGATTTAATTTCAGTCCAAATTTTATGAATATATTTATGTGCTCAGAAATACTCTCCCATCCCCCTTGAAAAAAGTATCATCAATAAAAGACCTAAAGTTATTACTCAATACTTGAAACATTGGAGTATTAATGAGGGCTATGGCCAGTCTAGAGAGAACAAAGGAGAGGGAGAAAAAGAATTAAAAGGTTAGAAAGTTGTACTTCTGATAAAAGGTTAAAAGCATTGGGATTATTTAACCTGCAAAAGTGAAAGAAGAACAAGGTGATAAATAACTCTCTGTAGATGAATTGTGGTTGTTTTTGCCGGTCAATACTTAATGAGTGACTTGTATACTGAACATTGCACCAAATATTTTAGGGGAATAATAAATAGATCCTAGTTTCAAGGATTGAAATCTACTCGAGTTGTTACAATACATAGCTCTGAAATGTATGTATATTTTCCAAAATTTAGACAAATATTTAGCGAGACTTACTCAAGACCAAAATCCAACCAACTTGGAAGAACTGATTAGGGAGAAAGGCAATGTCTTGGGGAGTTGGGGATTGATAGAGGAGTTGGCAGGAACATTTAGAGAAAGTAACATTGCTAATTTATATTCTCCAGGGTATAAATACATGTGAAAAGATGACTACTTGGTCAAAAGAGTGTGGTAAATTCCAAATTCAACAAATGAAATTGTGTCTTTAGTGCAGATAATTTGGAATCTTTAAAATGGTGGGGTGTTTTCAATTTCCGAAAGGGAACTTATTTGAAGGCAGACCCAACTTTGACTTATTGGGAGGGCTAGACAGGGAGCTGACTCATGTTGCCAAGGACATAGTTTGGGAAATACTGCCCCAAAGGATTTGGTAAGGCAGATTCTATCCGTTTCAAGCAAAAGATACAGTTTTCATTGAGAGACTATAAAGAAAAGACACTTAAGTTAACTGAGAGAATCTCACAAAAAGAAATTGTTTTCATAATTGATTTCAATAAAAATCCCAACAAGGGAAGATGGAGTGGACTGTGAACACAGCAAGCTGATAAACACCAAGTGGGAAACAGACAGAAGACAAGTGCTCAACAATGGAGGAGGGATAGCAGGATAACGTGGATGTCTATGAATAGTGTCAGGTATTGTTTGAGTGTTGGGGAAAAATGCTAAGAACACCAAAAATAGCCTCTAAAAATTGAAAAAAAAAATACAAGTAAGGCCTGACCTTGATCATTGCTTAAAGTGAGTGCTGGAGAGATGGGAGAACTATTCAACTTATAGTTTAATACCGACATGTTTTTTCTTCTTTCCCTTCCTCCCTTCCTTTAGTTTTCATGTGTGAAAAGATCAAAATATAAATATCAGTAAGAGGGAATAGATAATTCAAGTAGGAAACTAGTGAATGAATTTTATGCCAGCTGAGAAAAATTATACTCAGGATATTCTGGAAATTTGAAGTTGGGAATATTTACCTACCGTTGATCTTTACAATATTGTAGCAAATAGAAATGGGACCAGAAGATAGAAGGTAGACAAATGTAGTACCAAATTTGAAAAAGGAAAGAAAAATTATTTTGCATCCTAAAAATTGGTGTTCTTGGCATTGACGTTGGGTGGTTTTCTGGATTATGGCATTTTAAGTTTTGTCAGCATCTAATAAGAAGTAGTGATCACTAGAAACTAGTAAGGAATCACTTAGGCAAAACCATTTTAGACATCTCATTTTCTTTTTAGATAGAGCAAGGAGATTGTTAGACCAGGGAGAGGATGTAGACATAACATATGGGATTCTATAAGGCATTTTATAAAGCTACATGTGATACCTTTGTAAAATTGGTAGATTTGTAACCAGTTAAATGATCAGTGTTGGTCCCAGAAGAGGTCTCTAGTAGCAGGTCAGAGCACTCTGTCCTTGGTCTTGACCTAGTTCAAGTGATTAAATTACAATATTTATGGCATGCATTTTTAGTGTATCAATAACAAGAAACCAGAGGGAGAGTGAATGTTTGATGATGAATTGAAACAATGGGTGAAATTTCATTAGGCATAATTTAATAGAGATAAATGGCAAACCTTACATTAGGTAGGAAAACAGCTCCATCCATTCAAGATAGACTTGACAAGGCTTAACTGTAGCACATGTGAAAAAGAAATACGTTTTAGTTAACTGTGAATGCATAGCTGTTAACGGTGGACCATGGCTGCCCCCAAATCCAATTGCAATCCTGAACTGCATTAATAGAAATCATATATCTAGATTGATGAAGCTGATAGTTACTTCCTTCTAGGTACTTGCCAGATCTCTGTTGCAGTATAGTATTTTGTTCTGATAATTGTATTATATGACAGATCAGTTGTGATCTGGAAGAAGTTATACAGCATGGTGTAGGGATTTGAAATCCTATCTTAGTAGAAGAGTAGTTCTGGACTAAAAGGAAATTCTAAGAAGGAAAGCACATAACACTATCTTAACTGCTTGTTGAGCTATGATATAGAAACCAAACAAACAAACATTAGGTTTGTTCTACTATAGGAAAGTTTTGCTAATCCTACCATAATTGGAAGAACTGCAAGGGGATGAATTTAATCCCAACATAAAACTTTCTAGCAAATGGCACCATCCCTTTAGTTAGCTTCCTACTACTTGAGTTGTTTAGACTTATGCTTCCATTTTTGGAATGTTATAAAATAAATTAATGTGTTTAATAAATTAATAAAATAAATTAAGAAGGTACACTGGGTGACCTTTATGGAAAAATCTCTTCCAGCTTTGAAATTTCATGATTCTTTGCTTAATGGAGTATGGGTAATGACATACGCAATGAAGGGACATGAATCAAGGAAGATATAGTTGTTGGAGGGAAGCATCAGAGATGGCATTTCCAAGGAGGTAGATTTTGAACTAGTTTTATAGAAAATGGCTAGGATAAATTGGTGGAAGAACAAAATAATTTTATTTATAACAAGTGGTGGATTTTCTTGTGTGAAGAGAGAAACTGCCAGCAAAGAATGCCGTTGGCATTGGAGAGTTCACAGACAAGTTTTATGTAGACTATATATATAAAACATGTATGTGCATTATTTTAATTTATTTTTAAGCTAGAAATTATTTAGTGTTATAACTTTTTATTTTGCTATTTAAGAAATTAAGGAAGAACATTTCTAGTATATATTTCTTTAGAGAAAGGAAAGTAGGAAAGAAATAATCTCAAAAAAAGTTTATCCTCCCAAGAAAAAAGAGTAGGGGTCATATCACTAACCAAATATAAACACATTTCATATAAGTATGTATACCGTTGTTTTATTTGCTTGTTTCACTTCGTATTCTATTCAGTACTATTCTTCAGACCAGAATTTGGGAACCATTAAATTAGGTTCTCTGATGCGAGGTTGGGGAATTTAAGACTTGTGTTAGTCAGTTTTTGCTAGGTTATACTGCATAACAGGCAATTTCAAGATCTTGGTGGTTTATGGCAGCAAGCATTTATTTTTTAGTCATATTGCATGAAGACTACATGTTAGCTGCTATGGCTCTTCTTCATAGTCCATGTTGGCTTCAGATCTCATCTAAGAGGCTAAGCAGAACTATTAACTTACTTTTAAAACTTTTACTCAAAAGTGGCATATATCATATCCATTCATGTTCCATTGGCCAAAGTCAGTCACGTGGCCAGCTCACATCAATAAAGTTGAGAAGTATATATATGTGTGTGTAAATATGAAGAGAGACCCACAAAAAAACCAATTATTTTTTAGAGAGCAGTCCCCTTGTAGAACAGGCTTCTTCCGCTAGATTAGTATTCTAAGGAACCCATTGACTTCAGTGCACCAGCTAGTGTTGTTGTGAGAGATTTCTTTTGGCTTCAGTGACTTTTTTTGGGGAGATTCTTTCAACACGTTTGCCCATTTCATGATGGGTGATTTATGAGCACACCTGCCCATACAGCACTGAGTGCTAAGCAGTTTTTGACCAAAAACAGCATGGCCCCTATGTCTTACCCTCCCTAATCACCCAGTCTCACTCCAGGGACTTACTTCTGTTACCCTGGATGAAAAAGTCCTCAAAAGGAAGTGTTTTGCCGATACGGAAGAGTTGAAACAAAAACCAGTAGTAACACTAAAAGGCATCAAAATTGACAAGTAGGTGTATTGCATCAAACAGAAAGTACGTTGAATATGACTGAAGTTTAAACATGTAAGAATAAATACACAATTTTTAAAAATAAATGAATTCTGTTTTTTGGTTCCCCCTCATATACATAGTGTGTGTGTGTGTGTGTGTATGGAAAGAGATTTGTGAATATACCCTATACTAGAGTCATCTTGGAAGTTCTAAAACTTAGATGAGAGAGTGATGTGATGAAAACTAAGACAGTGTTGAGACGGGGGGCATTGAAAACATGAAGAATAACTGTTGAGGACAGCTTATTTCTTCTCATGACTTTCTAACTATCAGTGGCAAAATTTCAGCATAGCTAATCTCATGAGATTTGTCTTGGCACTTCTTGTCACATTATAGTAGTTCCAGTCCTGGATATCTTCACCTTTCATTGCTTTACTGTCACCAAACTGCAAGAATTTGGTCCTATGGATTTTGCTGATCAATTCTGTGTAAGGATACCCAGCAGTAAAAAGAAATGAAATATTAAAACATGCAGCAACATGAATGAATCTCAGCATCATAATGCTATGTAAAAGTAGTCAAACACAAAAGACTGTATACTATACCAACCTTTTATATGAAATTCCAGAAAGGCAAACTCTGGTAACCGGAAGCAGAATAGTAAGGGAAAGGATCAACTGCAAATGAATGTGAGGAAGGTTTTAGGATGTTGGAAATGTTCTAGATCTTGATCATGGTGGAGTGTACATTTTATTGATTGTGAGTTTATACTTAAAACTGGAAGAAATAAAACATTATTTGTGTGTTTCTCTGTTTTAGGAACAACTTGAAACAGCCAGGAAGTTTCTATATTATGAAATGGGCTATAAATCTCGATCAGAACAGTTAACAGATCGCTCTGAAATTAGCCTACTGCCTTCAGACATTGACAGGTACTTCTAATAAGTTTCTGTCTTTCCCTTTCTTGCTCTCTCTTTTTGCCTATGTATGTATATTTTTCCATTATTCAATGTTGTGTTCTAGGTATAAGAAGAGATTTCATAAGTTTGATGCAGACCAAAAAGGCTTTATTACCATTGTTGATGTTCAGCGTGTATTAGAGGTAATTTTTTGTTGTTTAGTTAACAGTTTCTGATAGTAGAAGAATATTTCCTCATCTAGTGCTTGCTATACTTATTATTTTTATTGTAATTTATGAAAGATCAATAGCATTAGTAAAAGGATATGCATAATTTCTTTCTTTCTTTTTTTTTTTTGAGTCAAAGCCTCACTCTGTTGCTTAGGCTGGAGTGCAGTGGTATGCTCATGGCCACTGCAGTCTTGACCTGCTGGGCTCAGGCTATTCTTCTGCCTCAGCCTTCCAAGCAGCTGAACTACAGGCACAAGCCACCATACCCGGCTAATTGTTTTTTTATGTATTGTAAAGATGAGGTCTCGCCAAGTTGCCCAGGTTGGTCTCGAACCTATGACCTCAGGCAATCCTCACACCTTGGCCTCCCAAAGTGCTGGGATTATAGACATGAACCACCACACCCGGCCAAAATAAGCATAATTTTTCATCAAACTTCATTGTGCTGTGCTTTTCTTTTCCTTAGAGTATCTGTGTCCAAATGGATGAAAATACACTACACGAAATTCTGAATGAAGTAGATTTGAACAAAAATGGACAGGTTGAACTCAATGAATTTTTGCAGGTGAGTTGTGAAAGGAACAAGTATATTCCTTTTATCTCTTGGTTGTAATGATCATAAATGGATGTTCAAGAATGGATGTTTAAGTCTACACAGTTGTCACTTCATTCTGAAAAAGAAGAAAAGTTGAAACCAGCAGTGGTTGATATTTCTGCCCTCATGGGAAAGGCTCTATTTGGTATATTTTCTGTAGCTTTATTTTATTTATTTATTTTTTTTGAGTTGGAGTCTCGTTCTGTCGCCCAGACTGGAGTGCAGTGGCCGCTCCCGGCCACCGCAGCCTCGCCTGCTGGGCTCCAGCGATCCTTCCACCTCAGCCTTCCGAGTAGCCGGAATTACAGGCATGCACTACCATGCCCGGCTGATTTTTTGATTTATTGTAGAGATGAGGTCTCGCTGCCCGGGCGGGTCTCGAACCCGCGGGCTCAGGCAATCCACTCACCTCAGCCTCCCAAAGGCGTGGCATTACAGGCTGAGCCACCGAGCCCGGCCTGTAGCTTTATTTTTATAAGAAACATTCTATTATGTTGGGGACTTTAGGTTAAATTGAGGTTACTTATTGGTGTAAGGGTAGAATATGAAGCATGCTTTTTATCTTTTTAAATTTTTCTGTAGAGACAAGGTTTGGCGTGTTGCCCAGGCTGTTCTCAAACTCATGGGCTCAAGCAGTCCACCTACCTTGTCCTCCCAAAGTGCAGGGATTACAGGTATGAACCACCATACCTGGCTGGAGCATGCTTTTTTAAAAATTTGTTTAATTTTTATTTTATTTTATATGAGTTGGAGTCTCACTCTGTCACCCAGACTGGAGTGTGGTGCCTCAACCTGGTGGGCTCCAGCGATCCTTCTGCCTCAGCCTTCCCAGTAGCCGGAATTACAGACGTGCGCTATCACGTCCGGCTACTTTTTTTTTGATTTATTGTAGAGATGAGGTCTTGCCAAGTTGCCCAGGCGGGTCTCGAACCCGTGGGCTCAGGCAATCCACTTACCTTAGCCTCCCAAAGGCGCAGGATTACAAGCTGAGCCACCGAGCCCGGCTTTATTTTATTTTAATGATGTCATAAAATTCAGGATTAGGTAAATAAGTGGGGTCATAGTACAGGTAAAGTTTGTGCCTTCCTTTGGTCCCCATGAAGCATGCTTTTTAAAGATGTAGGCATTAGAATGTCACTGCTGGATCTTTCTCTACTTATGTCAAAAGAGGCAATACTAGATTTCTAATGTGGAAAATAATTTTTTACATAGGCAGTTTTAAAAAATTATAATTATATTCATTAATGAATTATATTCATTTGAGAACGTAGCTATTCAATATTTACCTTGTGGAGAACTAGAAAAGCAAAAGGAAGAAAAACTGTACTCTGGAGTTAAGACCATATTAATTTAAATATTTCCATTTCTAATTTTCAGCTACTCAAGACTCATTGTTTAATCTTGTAATCATGAAGGAAATACATTTTGTTACTTTAACATCAAACTGGATGCTACACATCATTCCTTAAAAATTCCTTAAAAGAAATAAATTTAACAAACTCTAACATTATGTGGAGCTATCTACATGACTCTGATCATATGAAGAATGTATTGGTTTCCAAGCAGCTAGGGTTTTTTCTGTAGTGCATCTTGGGCAGGTATTTCAAATGAATGCCAGGTCTTGCTTGCGCCATGGCAATGATGAATGCTGAACATGAAATAAATTAATGCTGGGGATTTTGGTCAATGTCAGCCCTTTCTTCACTGTGTCAAGTTAAACAAACAAGATCAAGGCAAAGGAAATGGTAATTGTCTCTCTGGAGATGAGCTGCAGATAAGAGCATTGTTGAATCTAAATGCAGAAAATTTTCACAGGTTGTGTCCAGCATCACAAAAAAGAATGTTAGTTCTTTAGCTTACTGTTTAACTAAATGCACATTTTAAATTGAACTTAAAATTTATGCTTGGGAATTGAACACCATTAACACATTTTTGTATAGTTTTTCTGGAGAGTATTTTGTTGTTTGTCTCAGAATTTTAGAAAACTTTTCTTCAGAGAAATAGCTTATGCTTTATTTCATGTGTGTTGTAAATAAACAGCAGAATTTAGGGTTGAAAGACCTGGGGTTTTAGAAACAATAAAAATCTAATTTTATGGATATGCTATGTGGTTTGGGTTTTAGGTAATTTTCTTGAATGCAGTAGGGTTAAAAACACAGAAAATAATTTAAACTATTTGCAGATTTTCTTGTAGAGTTTTTAAATAATTGAGTATTTCTTATCCCATTTTAAATGAAAGAAACCATTCATGCTTCTAAGTACAAATGTACAGAGTGTAATTTTCAGTTTTAAAATTGCTGACCGTATTTCTTATGAAATATATTCACACCCAAATGTTATTTTTTTCTTGTAAAATGATTTTTAGAAACTCAATGAGTTTCTAAACTCAGTGTTTAAAGAAAACTTTGGGTTTTTCAAGGTTGGTATATCATATACTGTTTATAACTAAAAAAAATTCTAGCTTTGTCAGTTTTGTTAGCTCTGATAAACTCTGAAGGTCTTCCTGGAATCAGAGACAAAACAATAAACAATAAATTGCTCTGTCTTTAGATATCAGTATTCCTTATGTTACACCATTCCTCAGATATAAAGTATGTTTTCAGGGTTATTTTTTGTATTTTAAATAAAATATTTTCTCTTTTGAAGATTAAAAACTCTTGTTTATCCCATTAAACATCTCTTTTGACTATAGATATGGTTTTTCAATAATCCTCATGAAAGGATCACTGTAGATATTGTATGGCTGCATGACTATTTCTAGGTTTGGGCTTTAATGACACTTCTGCATGTAGGAGTCTATCTCTAATAAGCAATAGCTTGTGAAACAGCTTTTAATAAGGTCATGAAATTCTGATCCAGCCCCTTGGCAGATGCCTCTGACTCTTATTCAGAGCTGTTTTTAAGAAATGTATCTTTATAGGTTAAAAGCGATAACCCTAAAATATATTTTGAGAATTTTCGTATAAATTTTTTTCTGATGAATAGCCAACTCTGTTTTTTTTTTTTTAAGTAAATAAATAAAAAAAAATTGGGGAAGTGAGATCAAGAAAAGCAAATAGTTGAAAGCACATCAACTTGAAAAGGAAAAAAAATCCTCATGCTCATAATTGCAAAGTGCCTTCTAGATTAAAGGCCTTTGCCCGCTGACTGCATGTAATTTCAAGACTAATTCTGATTTTATCCATTGGATAAAAATGAATTAGCTAAAATCTGTGCTGTAGAGTGCTTTTAATTCTTAAGGTAGATCTCTGGGTCCGTTTTCAAGGACTTAAATGTAAATTGCTTTAAAAAGTCTTTAAGGAATTTGGATTTAGGGGACTTGAAGTTGTCAAGTACAGCAACACTAAAAAAGAATAGATAAATATAGGTCATGGTTTATCTTTATTCAATCCCTGAGCTTCCTTTTTAAGATTTTTAAATGGAATTAAAATCCAATATTTGAAGCTGCTTTTTTAGAAAAAGTGCCCAGAACACACTAATAACGAAAAAAAATTTTGCCTTTAAAGACAGATTGATTAGCTTGATAGATATAGTTTTTGCAGCAGCGTTGTAATACCTAGCCCTTCCCCTCATTTTGAAATGTTTCTTCTTATTTGAGCTGTAGTACTTGTTAAAGTTTTTGATAAAGCACCTAATTACCTCTGCTTGCCTCAGTAGTAACCATTAAAATTCCGGGAAAAAGAGAGTACATTGTCTAGACTTCTGAATATGTTGCTTATTTTCTCTTTAAGCTGATGAGTGCTATTCAGAAAGGAAGGGTGTCTGGAAGCCGACTTGCCATACTAATGAAAACTGCAGAAGAGAACCTTGACAGAAGAGTCCCAATTCCAGTGGATCGTAGTTGTGGAGGATTGTGAGTCTGAGCAGTAAATCCACAGCCAACAAACATAAGAACAACAAATCACCACATAACAACCAGAGATGACTTAAATCACTGTAAAATAGTGAATGTTGATAGCTGCCTTTTTAACACTGGAAAACATTCCAAAACTTTAGGATGTTAGTACATTTGCCAAATTTATTTACCGATACTTTGTTTGCATTTGCCATTCAATCTAGCTTCTCAAAAGTGTATGTTCTCATTTTCAGTGCACATTAGTTTTATATCCATTTGTAAACTGACTTGACATGCTCCCTCTTTGTTTATTCGTTTATTCTAAATCAGTTCTCAAGGCAGAATATTTTGACAAAAAATTGAAAAAGGAAGCTGGGGACATTTTGTGACATAGACAAAATTCTGAAAACTAAGCTTATTGATAGCATATGTTGTTAAAAAGAGTGATCTGTTGAAATGATAGTATTTTTGGAGATTTCTCAGCCTCCAAACTCCAGCATGTTTACCTTCTTCATGCAAACAGTATCATTCAATTTTAAAAGTAGAGCATGGCTAGCAAACTGGAGAGGGAAGAAAAAGTTTAGATCTGGTTACAGGAGCAAGTCTCAAAGAGAAACTCTGAAAGCTTCCAGAATCACAGGTATAAGATAAGGATAGCATTGACATTTGCTGGAAGTTACAGTGATAGTTTCATCTCAGCAGTTCATTTTTTTCCTCAGTCACTGTTAGTTTTCTTTGACTATTATAGTTGCCAGAAAGATCCTTGCTTTTCTTACTTTAAAACCAGCATTTAAGTGACAAGTTGGAAGTATGGGATAAGGCCAAATTTCTCCAGTCTTCTCAGTATTAGTGCATTCAAGGGTTAAAAACATGTGTTTATATATCCACATATGATAACACAAGTTTCAATTTCCAAACCCGAAATTTTGGAGCATGTGGTATTGTCAAGCCTGGCCTTTCATTTTTTAGGCTATTTGCAACCAAGATAGAATAAACTTTAGCGAACTTTAATTATAGTTATGTACAAAATAAGGCACAACACTTAAGTATCCAAGGTTATTGCGCACCTTTCCCCTTCTTTACTCAATGGAAATATTCTCAGTCAACCAAAAATTAAACAATACGCATACACATCCCAAAAGCAAAAATCAGCGTGCATTGAATTTAACTAGCAAAGCATTGTAAAAGTTAAAAAGCCAGCTTGAGATGTTTTTTGCTATATTTTGGAAGCATTTTAACTAGTCATCTGAATATTTATTAATTGTACTTCCTCCTACGAAGTTAACTATTTTTTTTTCTTAAGATCACGTTCAGTATGTAATAGGAGGGCATGTAACACTTTATTTCATGGCAGGCTTTCATTGCACAGACTTGAAGTCTTAGTTTTTAAACTGGTACATGAAATTCTTTTGTGCTGTTATTTCTTTTTATTTCAGCATGATAAAGTATCTTTATGCCCTATTCAAGTGGGCTATGAGCCTGTATGTCACAGTATGAACACTGGAGGTTCATTCACCCAAGCCCCCACATACCTATGGAAAAAAAAAAAAACCAGAAGCTGCAGGGAAAGGCAACATCTTAACTCACTTTGTTTTTAAATGATGTTTTAGACACTTACCACTTCCTAAAGGAAAACTTGCAACAGAGCAAATGATGCTCCTAGGTATCACTGTGAACTTTTTTCTTTCAGTGTGTGAATTTTTACATTGACTTTTTTGTTTTAATAAGTGAAAGCTTGTAGCTTTGCAATTTAGTGTTTTTCTATCAAAACAATAAATTTCATTGCTTAGGACTCAGTGACACTTCATAGGTAGAAGAATTGTCCTTTAAAGCATCTCAGACAATATGACACAATATTGTACATCTGTGCTCTCTCTCTCTTTTTCTCTCTTTCTAGTTAGATCAAGATAATGATGACTTGTATCCTCCCTGATTCCGTTACAGTAGGGACCGGGCTTAGACCGTGGCTGGCTGAGCAGATTTGTGTTTGTAAAACAGGCCTTGTTTGTGCACGCTTTGCTATGAGTGAAATTCCTTTAAGGACAAAGGAAAGCGCTTTTGCTTAAAATCTGCTAAATTCTAAAACATACACTCCTTCAACAATCCCAGAGACTTGTTGGGAAATGAACTGGTTTCAAGCTGCTACTGTGAATAAAGCACCCCAGCTTTTTTTTTTTTTTTTTATAAGTTCCTAATGAAACCTGTATAGCTTCTTAACCTCATTTTAAAAAGGAGGGAAACAGGGGAATAAGCCCCTTCAAAACCCATTCCAAGCACAAATTTTTTTTCCTTTCATATAAACTTGATATTAATTGATTGTCTTGGGTTGGGGATGGGTGTTCAAGGATTGCCTTTTATCATCAAATGATTTATTTTAAGAGCCTTTAAGGGGATTCAGGTGAAGGAATCCCCATCTGTGCTGGAGAGTTGGATACTCCTTTCAATAGTCCCCACCAAAGTCATAACAATAGTGATAATGCTGGATTATTTGTTAAGCCAAGGTTGTCTGCCTCATATCCATCATGCTGTTGGCAATATTCTTGCTTTCAATCAATTTATACTGAATGTAACTTTAGGATTTCTACTATTAAATGCATGCTCCCTATTCTGCTTTAGTTTCTGGCTTTGTTTTGTCTGTTTCAGAATATGTAGCTGCTGCTTCTGTACCACCAAAATTTCATTCTGCCTTTTACTAAATATACTGTAAGAGTCATTACTAATTTTATTTTTTCTCATTTTTTTACTGTATCTGTAAAGATTTTTGGCATATGAATATAATGTTGAAGTCAGTGATGCTATAACTTGCACTGTTTTGCATTATGTCAACCTTTTTTTAGGGAGTAAAATAGCCCTACTATGTTTTTTAAAGAATATCAAGTATAAGCCCAGTACTGGAATGGAAATACACACTGCATGTTTTCATATGTGGCACTTTTATGTATTGTGTTGGGTTATTGTTCTAGATTGGACTGTTAAATACTATGTTTGAGGCTGGATTGTCATTTTTATAACTGTCTTGGTGTTTTATCACCATTATTTATTACTTTTGATATACAGAATGAGCTGCATGCATTTATAGAGCAATAAGAGGATGTATTTAATGTGCCTTGTTTTTAACTGAAGAAGAACTGGAAGCATGAATCAATAAAACTGATTAAAATGGTCCATTTGCTGGCATTTTGATGTTACTTGCAGTGAGACAAATAACTTTGATTACTGTTGAAGTTTAAAAAAAGTTTGAAAATATTTTCACAAACTATATTTTTAATGACACAAAAGAGAAGTATCTTTGTAGACAGATGTAATTTTATGAGACTGCTAGAATTATTTGTATTAATTTGTTGCTGCAGCCTTTAGGGCTTGACTTCTGTATTTGTGCAATCTTATTCTAAAATTACATTCATCCTGTTACAACTCAGTTGAATCCTCACTTTCTTTCTTTCTTTCTTTTTTTTATTAACCAGAGCCTTTCAGCCTAAGCGTTCCAGGCACACTGATGAATTTTATCATAACTAAAATCAATAGAAATGAATGGGAAAGATTACATAATCCATTTTGATCATCTTACATGTCAAGTTAGTGCAGGGTTGCCAAGTGTTGATAAATGCTCTGACAAGAAAAAAATGCTATGTATTTTCATTGTCAGTAAATCAGTAAAGCTATTATCAGTTTTAACACAAATTTTATAATGCCCATGTTATTTTATAGGTTTTAATTTACACATGTATGTAGCGTATGTTCTCCATTTGTGGTTTCAATGTGCTGCCTCCTGGTTCTGCATGCTCAAAGGCATGCATGAGCTTCTGAAGGGTCTTTGAAATGGTATAGAATACCCCAAAGCAATGACTCTCAGACAGACTTGGAACAATGAACTGTTTGTTCAATGCCTGGAAAAAAAATACATGGCAGTTTTAAACATTTTCTGTTGATCTAGCTTATCAAATTTGATAGCACTTTAAAATTTGTCAACATAAAATTTGTCAAAATATTGTTCCCAGTGTTTTAAGTGTATAAAATTTATGGTCATCAGAAAATGGGGAAATGACACTAGCATCAATATTTTGCAATCTTTGTCAGCATCTTTTTATCACTGATGTCAGATTTCACCTTGTGACATTTGACTTATGAAAGAACAAAACAACAAAAGTTTTAAATTGATTTGGCACCTTCATGATGAAAAGAATTCTGTATAGGAGGCAGAAATGATGAACCTTTTGTGCATATACTTTGTATTCTAGGTCCCTAATCAGCTGTCTAACTAGCTAAATATGGGCACAGAACAGGATGTATATGAGCCTTGATGATACCAGAGCTAGTCTTGCAGGTCCTGTGCTAAGAAGGTTGGGGGCTTTGCATAAATCAATTGATATCTTTACATTTTGTTAAATACCTGATCCAGAATAATAAGATTCATGTGATCTAAGCAGAATACTGTTTTAGCAGACTTATCAGGACCATCTCTGTTCTCCACATTTAGCATTTGAATGGCCTTGCTCAGCAGACCCCACCACTGGTTCCCTGTTAACTGTATTCACACTGCAGTAGCTTGAATCGAGGGAGGTTAGGGTGTGTATCCTGTAGTCATAGGCAATATATCATGTTTCAGTGGAAAACATAGGAGGAGTCTCATAATACCTGCCTTGGATGTTAGAGCACGGCCCATGGCACAACTGATTCCACCAGCTTCTGAGCCATTCAAGAACACTATTAGTGCCTTACACAGAGCATTCCTGCTCTGTTTTCCAGGTACACTGGCTCATTTTTCTTTTCATTGACTGCTTCTAGCTTTCCTTCACTGTGTCACGGAGTTGGGAGGTGTAAAATATGTACATTATTTTTTTTTATTTTGGCCCCGGTGCCTATAAAAAAAAATTTTGTGGTTAAGCAGAGTCTTGAATCAGAGGCTTGTTTTTTGTAACCAAATAATTTATTTACTTGTTTTAGCTTTCTACTATAAAACTGGGTCTAAAGTTTTGATTGTTCTCTGTAAAAATTCAACTTAGGCATATATGATTTTGCTTCAAAAGCTGCCTTATTGTTTGTCTAAGTGATCTAAATGCAATAAACTCAATTAACACATCACTGTTCTTTAACCTGATTTAAATGCCCTCTTAAGAATAAGAATGGGTTCCCTGCCTGGCACTATCTCCTTCCTCCAAAGGTTTAAATAGTCACTTCTGCTTTCCTTTTAATTTGTTGCTTGATAGATTTTCTCACCTTTGCTTCAATATCAATTATTGTTTATCTGTCCATCATTAATTGATTTACAATTCATTTTTATGCATACGGAGTTTTTTCTATCCAAGTTAAGAAGCTGTAAATCTTAGATCCATTGAAATGACAGTGAGAAATATTTCATTTTATCCCATGAATCATTTGCCATCCTCAGTGCAGAAAAATGGCAAAATTATGGTGTACCATGTTTTCATAAATTACTCTACCCTCCCCCCCCATCCCCGTTCATTTCATTATCTGTTGGGAAAGACTATAAGAGTCAGAATCCAGACACTTGTGGTAAACAGTTCTCATTTTACAGCAGGCTAATCAAAATTTCATAACATTACAAATTAGTTCTTCTGGTACCGTGAAGAATTTAATTCATGTACAAAATATATCATCTATTTTTTAAGTCAAAAATAGCTTGATATGAAAGTACATTCTGTGATTTGCCAGTATAGCAAAAGGGAAAGAGTGCTGAATTCCTTAAATAATGTATATAATTTTCATTGAATTTCATATGTCAAAGTAGTCATTTATGTCCTGAAAGGTGTGTGCTTTGCACTGTGTGTTTGAACACTATTAAAAAATCATGGCTTCTTCCAAAAAGGACAAATCATAGGTTTGCATTTCACATATGACCTACAATGAAATAACTTATACAGGAACCCCCCCCCAGTCCTCATTAGGAATATCCCCAAAAGTAAAAACCTGAAAATATTTCTGAAAGCATTGAATGAAATCAGTTATAAAGTTACAATGTTACTAAATAGACAGATTTGGCTATTGACTTTAATCTCTATTTTATTGTCGATTTTTTTAAGGAACTGTGGTCAATTATTTATGCAGTTGACAAAGTTAAGTTCATCCTGATAAATATATTCGTCATAGTGAGCTGCTAGACTGTTTTCAAAATGGGCCATTTTTTAAATGGAGCTTATCCAGCTTGATCCATGCTTGAAGCAGCATTGAACCATTAAATAAAAACCTGGGACAAAATGCCTTTGAAAAGGGTTAATTAGCTTTAATATTGATTTATTCCATATAGGATGCTAATAGACTAGAACATTTATTTCTGTTTTGGATCATTAAAAACTGGCTTTCATTCTTGAACAATTTGTTTCTAATAAATAAAAATTAGACCAATTAGAATAGTTTTAGTATAGCCTACAACACATGATGTGCTTTTTATGAAAACAAAAGCTTGATCACTACTTCACAATTCATTGTGATTTCATTAGAAACATCTTCTGCAAAATATAAGATCGTTTAGCTGAAAACAGGAGAGTTTCTATTTCAGCCCTAAAAAGAAGGGTAAGTTGTGGAGGGAGTTAACGTATGGACTGAAAACTCCCTAAAGCTAAATTAGCATATGCTGTCCCTGGTGTCATTTTTCTCAAACAGTCGGATTCGTTCCCCTTTTCTCCATTGCTTAACTTTCTCCTTTCATTGACTTTACTCTTGGAAAATATTACTCCATCGAAAAAGTTTACCTCAGCAAAGGTGCTTGTCTATCTGCAGGGGATACCTCCCTTGCTGTGCTTAGTTTTTGTTCTTATGCTGCCCTCTAATGGATACCAAATTATTTCATTAGACCCAGAACAAAAGTAAATTTTCAGCTTATGGGGCTCCTGCACTAGCCCATCACTGGTGGAAATTATGATCTGACCGTTTTTCCCTTTGCACACATATTGATGTAGGAGACACTTGTGCTAATTGTGCAGAGTCATGCTGGCCAAAGTTGCATTCCTGTTCTGGGCAGTAGAGGGTCAGTGATGCTAATTTGTGCTCTATCGAACTTTCCTTTTTTCTCTGCCAGCAATCGGAAAGAATTGATGTTCTGGAGGACTTAAAAATGAGGAATAAAAACAGTGTAAGTGCTGTATTAAGATGATATGCTGTATGTTTTATCAGCCACTGGCACCTAGTTCAAAAGACAAAAAAATTAGCAGCAGTGGTTTGG